TGTTCTCTTCAACCATTTCCGATGGTTGCTCTACGGGCGATTGTTGGACGTTTACTGCCGGGTTTACAACGGCCAAGACACGCGTCTGTGCTTCGAGGTTGATGCACACGCTGTCAACTACGTCTAGGAGTGACTTTCCCCTGACCGACATATTCGTATACCACGTCCGCCACCGGGGTGACGCGGTGTGCCTAATACGCATGTCAAGCCCGCTAGCGGGCAATTCTAGCCAATAATACGTCGGAGAGCTGCACGAAGTCTCTCGGCAAGACCGCGACATACGCCTCCATGGCATATGTCGACGTCGGAAAGAGAAGACGCGCTACGTCCAAAATGAGCTGTTCCACGGGTATGCCAGGACCCCGGTCTACCCTTGCTCTATCATACTTCCTTCGTCGATTTTGTGGGCCGCGCGGTTGACTAAGTCCACCACTTCGTCGACCCAGTTTTCGAAGTGCTCTTCATTGTCGACTCTCATCGGCGGCAAGGGCTGCGCGGTGACCTTGGCGACCCAGTCATCCTTTGTAGACTGTTTTGCGATGACTCTCGTGTTCGCGAACTGCGATTCCTCGATGAAGCCTACGTCCGCAGCAACCCGTCCAGTAGCTGTCGCCATTGGTGTATCCTGGTGGGTGCTGATGGACGGCCTGCTAACGCTGAGCTCGTCGTCTGAGTCGCGGAATAGGGGTATCGCGTCAGGGGTGTGTGTTGCCCTCTATCTCTCTTATGTAGGGAGCCCATTGCCGGCCCCATTGCCGGCCCGTCATTGAGCTGTTGTGTCTCGACAGGCCATGGTGACCACTATCGGAGAGACTGTCTATGCTGATGTATACGGTTATCGCTGTGCAAACATAGCGCAAACAAATTTTGAGACATAACACCAAGTCGTGTGCGAGGTCACTCAACGAAGCAGCTCACTCGGCCGCTCGTCCCCTCAGGCCTCTCGGGCGAAATCTGACCCGATCTTCGACACTGCAGGGACACCATCCAAACAACAATGAGTGGCCCCGATTCACAAAATTGGTGGTAGCTATTGGCCGAAAGGGCAAGTGAACCATCAAGACGACTTTGGGCACACGAGACCTACCGAAGACGGACGTGAGAAGTAAGCCTTTCAGGGCACCTGCTACGGAAACCGACTGAGAAGCAACTAGAGTTAGGGGGCCGACGGCTGGGTGGGGTGCCAGAGGAATAGAGGGCCCACGGCATCCGCAAAACGAGATCTCTGTGAAAGGCAGCTGACGGTCCGAGTCGTGAACGGTCCGAGTCGTGAACCTGACGACTAGACAACGACTAAAGCGCTGCACCTTCAACACCCAGCCAATTACAACATTCGCAACCAGCTGCCATCTCTTGACCCACTGCCACACGCGTTTCAACAACCAGAACAAGGTGGCGAGGTTGTCGTAAGGTTGGACCAGGCAGTGATGACCGCGGCCAAGCGTGGCGGGAGTTGCTGATGCGTGGAGTCGTGGCGGTGCGCGAGTCTGAGTTTGCTGTCTCGCAGGGAGGCAGTGGCTGGAGCTGGCGGCGGTGTTGATCACTTATATAGAGTCGCCGGTGGAACTGGGGATGGGTCCTCTACTGACTCGAGCGCTCTACTGGCTCGAGCGCGGACTCGGCTGGAGCCAGCCTTTTGGACGGCGCACTGTCCCCTGCGCAAAATGGCTAGCTTCCTGCAGTGCTGCGATCGGGAGGAGAACCAGCAGAAGAAGGGGAAGCGCGCAACGTATGCTACGGGTCGCAGCGCCATAAGATACGTCGGCTGGCCGTGACCCCTTCTATCAGCAAGTCTTCGCTGGTTGCCGAGAGATGACGACCCGGGGATGGCGCGACCGGAACAAGGAAACGCCCGTGGCCAGGTTAGTCGTGAGATCGTAGTGAAGCGTCTGGAGGAGAGCATGGGGGAGACGCAGAACTACGTGCCATGTATCACTCGCTCTGTCCAAGCCAGCTACGTACAACTGTCGGGCCTTACAGTCAGGCCTATTCCACACAACCACGTTGAGTCGTGTAACTACTCAGCCACACGCCTGAGGAAGCCTATCCGTCGCGACCCGACGGTGAGGAAAAGTCGAATGAAGTCCGCACACTCTTCAAACGCCTCACGACGTAACATCGATCAACACATTCCCTTTTTTTATACAACGAAGGGAGTTTTGAAGCAGGTGGAGATGAGGAGCCACGCTGTTCGGCTGCTGCCATCACTTCTTGGCATCCCTGGTGTGTTAGACGCCGATGCGTCTGCGCTCAGAGCTCTAGGGAAAATTACATACTACAGTGTTGTCGACTCCGTCTCTCTACTGGCTGTCCTTTTGAACTACATCCCCATGCTACGAGCAAGAGCCCACCTGACCTTCTGGCTAGCTCATACTGTACTATTCTCCGGACCCCTCTCTCTCTTTACTCTTCGACCCGGGGTCACTGACATCGTCTTAAACCCTTTCTTTCTCTTATTAATTTTGGTCGCTGTGTCCTTGCTCTACCGACGTCAGCGCACCACCCACCTAGCCCTTGGCATCGTCAGCGCACCACCTAGCCCTTGGCATTGTTGAGCGGCCGTTAGAATTTAAAATTAATGACAAGAGCCTTGAAGTGTGTTACCAGTAGCAAGTGCTGGGTCGGCAGCGCAGCCCTGGGCGCAATTGCCATCCTAGCGCAGGAGGGGGACTCTCTGATAGTAACGAGTCCGAGACAAATGTTCGAATTGTTGGTTCGGAGCCGAGACGAAAATACCTATAGGGTTCGCATCAAAGACGGGCTAGTCCAGTGGCTAGACTCTCCCGAAATGCTGCCGGTGACGAACGACGAGTCCGAGGCCACCGACCCGGAAGCCTCCATGTGGGACCTGATTATGAACGCTCCGTACAGTGGTTACTTCCTACTACACGAGGACAAGTTGCGGCGATTTGGCTGCAATATTTGTGTGGTGGATGAGAACGGTAGGAGTGATGAGCTCGTACAGGTCTCAGCGACAACGAGAACGGTCTTCAAATTTCGTGTTAGACCAGACATCGAGCGACTGTCATAATCCTTTTGATGAAAGCGCGCGTTCAAGGAGCCAGGGGTGCGCATCCCTGAGCCAGGGGGTGTGCATCCCTGATCCAGGGGTGTGCATCCCTGATCCAGGGGTGTGCATCCCTGACTCTTCTTTTAGTCCCCGACAGACTTCGAATCGAAACATGGTGGATCCAATCCCATGAGACGCGCCGAAGGAGTACGGCCTGTCGTTATCTTGACCAAGCACACTGCTCGCCAAGACAAACCGATTCGGGTCAACTCGAGATCCCCCCCTTGCTCCGTCGCATAAAGGCCTGACGCCAAACGAGTTCGGCCCCCAGCCCGGGCAGCTAATTTTTCCACGCAGTTGTCGCCGCCACGCAGTTGTCGCCGCCACGCAGTTGTTGATCAAGAAAAACGTCTTATTCTTGCGGCTTCTGTCTTGGCGGACTGTGACTTGAGGGGACTTGAGGGGACTTGAGGGGACTGGGGGGGAGCAAGCCACTAAGGGTCACAATGGAGAACGCAGCCTGCGACCGGTCGTGGGCTGTATTGGAGTGCTTCTTTAAGGGACGATAATGTTTGTCCTGTTGTGCTTCTAATTCCGTAAGGAAAACAGTAGTGTTCGAGCTCGGACCGGCCGTTGTAGAGTCCACAGACGAGATCACCGCCTAAGGAGGGTGTGCTGCAAGTGTCGTACAGTGATCCGGGTGGTGTTAAATCCTGGAAGTCAGGTGTGCGATGACCGCATCTTCTCCAGAGCGTATCCAGTTCGGGTAAGCGTGCGGCTGTAAAAGCATCAGAGTAGAACATGATGCCACCTACCACCAACAAACCTGCGCTTAGACAGATGCTACCGACTACCTTTGGTGAGGCAGCGTTTTTTAGCGTTGTCAGAACGCCATCCCGGACTAAAATTGTTGAGCGGGTCTTGTTTAGGACACTGCTGAACCATTTTTTTTTTCCTTCTACTGGTCCGATGTTAATGTGACTGGAATCAAGTGCTGACCTTTGCAGTACACCTTGCCAATCCTCCCTCACCATGGGCAATAACGCTTTCAGATGTTCACTGGTCACCTTGACCGATTCAAACACTTGTATCTCATCTGTATCGTCGATATCTTCCGTACCTATTGTGGATAATTGATGCCCCCCGAATGCATCCTTCCAGACTTCACCAATGGCTTGACTCATCAGGAAGCTTCCTCCTATCGCCGTAGTTTTTTTGCTTGGATCGGCTTCCCTGGTCGGATCGGCTTCCCTGATCGGATCGGCTTCCCTGGTCGGATCGGCTTCCCTGGTCGGATCGGCTTCCCTGGTCGGATCGGCTTCCCTGGTCGGATCGGCTTCCCTGGTCGGATCGGCTTCCCTGGTCCTGAAGAATTTCCGGAGCTGACTGCGCAAAACAGACTCGGTATACGTAGCATAGGGGGTATACAGGGTATGCACAGGATTGGGGGCAGTCCTGTCGGGTAACTTGAGAAGTTGAAGTCTGCTCGAGTCAGTGCACACGTCGAATTTTCGTGACATGTCTTTCATCAACATTGTCTCAGCGCCGTCCAAACAATCCACGTTCTCCGATAACAGTTGGTCGTCGAGTCTCTTCAAGGCGGTCTTTGGAGCTAAGATAAGGGCATCAGTACAGTCTTTTCCCTTCACACCAAGCACCACTAACCTGGCACCCACGTCCTCACCTAGTTCAGGCTGGACACCCTCACCTGTCAGCAAAGCCGCCAACAACTCCTCTATGTTACTCGTGTTCGAAACCACCACCGTCCTCATGAATGAATTCCGGGAAATAAATTCCACCACCTCATTCCCACCAACCTCGTCGTGTCCGAACATCACTGGTAATTCGGTGCCAAGATGACTTCCACCAGTACGATCACGCGGCAGTACAATCGCGCGGCAGTACAATCGCGCGGCAGTACAATCACGGGGCAGTACAATCAACTATCCCCAAAAATCCCACCAGTTCGCGCGGGAGAACGGGCTCATGCGAGCACCATTGGTAAGGTAGAATCAAATGAAATCCGCACACCCTTCAAACGTCTCACGACGTACCATCCGCATGCTACTTAGCAACAGCCCTTCCGACTAGCTCATACTGTACTATCATTCGGAGCCCTCTCGTCTTAAAGCCTTTCTTTCTCTTATTTATATTGGTTGCTGTGTCATTGCACCATCGATGGCAGCGCATCAAACCTCATCAACCCATCTTGACCCGTTCGGGCGCGTGATTGGTGTAACCAAAGAATGTGTGGGTCCTCGATTTGGGTGCGGGATTATGTCAGAGTTCCACTTTGTTATCGCCTCCTGCTGGGTGTATTTTGTGGCTGAAAAACAATGAGAGCAGCCGCGGGTGGGAAACAGTGTTGTCCTATTTCAGTGCTTTGTTACTGGGCTATCAAGTCGGATGCTGTTAAAGAGCCTCCATCATCAGTCTGGACGGACCTGGGAGGAGGGGCGGAGGAGCGTGCGGCTTTGGAGGCGCGGATTACGTCGCTTCGCGGATTCGCTAAAGGTTGGCATCCAAGAGTATGCCGGGACGATGCGGGAGTGCGTGCATTGATGTTACAACTCATGCCTGTATCTCACTGGGCGGCTGCCTTGGCTACGTTAGGTCGGTTACAGTTGAATGGGTGTCCTATATTCGAATTGGAGGCTGCGGCTACGTTGTTGTTGCACATGCACACACCCGTGCACTTAGTGCTTGCTGCGGAGGCCTTACAGGCTGCGCGTGCGGAGATGAATGAAGCTTTCTGGGTCGCAGATAACCCCGCCGGTCGACTCGAGAAGTGGCTTACGGCCTGCTTCCTGCAACACGCGGGCGAGTTAGGTAGCCAGTGCCAGGCGGCAAATCCCGCCGACCCTCCTGAACTTCTCGGGACTGAGTACCAACCACGACTCCGACGCGCCCTGGACGTAATGGTCTACGCCACACTCGGCTCCCGACACTTCGGCCCCGAACTCCAGTGCGTGCGGGAACACACACCGCCCTTCCACACACATTCGCCCATGTCCGCCCCAGGTGTCGGCTCCTCCGGGCTCTTTGCTTCCGCTCTCCTACGACCACTCAGCGCCACGGAATACGCACGCATGACGCAAGTCACCCTGCGACCATGCTTCTTCACCGACTGGGTTACCCGTATAGAACACCTATTACCACTTGATCACTTTCTCCACGACCAAGCCAAGGCAGCCCACGAGCTCTATACGCTCTTCACGCCAAAGGAACGCGCCGACCTACGCGCCCTGCCCACCCAGCTGGCTGACCAGGAGCGGCAGGCGCTGCTTGACGACACCAGGCACCACCTCCTGACCACCCCCGGCCTGGTCGATGACCCGATGCGGTTGGTGGAAGAGACGGGGTTGGCGACCTGCAGCTGTAAATATCTGCGACTGGCGGAGGTGTTCTGTCGGTTCTTCTACCTGCCGTTTGGGAGCGTGACTGCCAGAGTCCATGCGGCCCTACAGCAGGCCGCCCTCGGGCCTCTGCCGTGGGTTCGGGGCGCCGTAAGGCGGCTGGACCACGTGGACATCTGGCTGACGGCGTGCCTGCTTGAACGCTCGCGTGTGGACCCGACGAAACTGAGGGAGTTCTGTCACACACACTTTAGCACACACGGACTGCCGGGGCACGCGGACGCAGACGAAGACAATGAAGTGGACTCGTTTGGCGCCTACCTCAACCGTCGCTGGCACGTCCGCTGGCCACGTGCAGCACTCCCACTAGAGCCCTACGATGGGCCCCACCGTCGCCTCCGAAGAAGCCAAAATCGGCGCTGGAGTATCGCCATCCGACACCACCAGGACAAGACGCGGGCACAAGGGGATAGGCACCACCTGCCGGACGAGGCGCCGCCTGACGAGGCGCTATCGGACGAGGCGATGCCGCAAGAGACGCCGACAGCAGTGCCGCCGGTTAAGATGCGGAGGATGCAATAGGGACTGAACCAGCTGCGATCACACCACGGCTCACTCACTGAACAGTGTCTGTTGACCAAGCCTCAATCGACCCGAGGTTTGCACCACTGCATCTCCTCATCTTCTCAAGGAGCTTGCACCAGGAATTCTCCTCGAAGTGTGCTTCCTAACAAAATAGAAACATTTATTTTAAAACTGAAGGCAAATGCGAGCGGGCGCAGGCGCAAGGCAGCGGTGTTCGATGTCTGTCCTTTGTTTTGGGGCTGTCAACGCGGGCGCCGGTGGCGGGCGGCAGCCGGTTGTGGCGTCTCCCTCGGTCTGGGCGGCGCTGGGAAGTGCGAGAGAGCGAGCGGAGATAGAGGCGCGGTTTGTGTCGACAAGTGGCCTGGCAACAGGCTGGCATCGCGACTTGTACCGCGATGACGAGTCCGCGCGTGAGTTGTTGCTGAGGCTGATGCCTGCACCGCACTGGGCGGCGGCGTTGGCCACTTTGGAGCCGGCGCATTTACAGGAGAACGACGTCTTTTTGTTGGAGGCGGCCGCCGCGCTTCGGTTGCACGTGAACATGCCGCTGCAGCTGGCTCTGGAGCGTCCGGCCCTGGAAGCGGCGTGCGCGGAGCTGGATGAAGTGTTCTGGGTCGCCGACAACCCGTCCCGCCGCCTCTTCAACTGGGTCACGGCCTGCCTGCTGCGGCACGCTATCGAGCTGGGTAAGTGCTGTGAGGCATCGGACCCTGCCGGGGTCTGGGCAAGGGAGTATCGGCGGTGCCTGCACGGGACGATCCAGCAGACGGTGCACCAGGCGCTGGGGCTGCAAGACTTCGGCGCGGACCCCGAGTGCGTGCGCGCACGCACGCGGTCGTACGCCGCGCACGAGTTCGTGCAGGCAGCACGCCCGAAGATCGAAGGGCACTCGACGCTCTTTAGGCGGAGAAACCCGCGCACGGCCTGCGCGACAGAGTTCGTGCGCATGACGTCGGTGGCGACGCACCCCTGTTTCTTCACGGACTCCGTCGCGCGCATCGAGCACCTGCTGCCGTCCGACCATTTCCTGCGCGACCAACGCAAGGCGGCCCGCGCGCTCTACACGCTCTTCACGCCAGAGGAACGCTCCGCGCTGCGCAGCTTCCTCAACTGGCTGGACGAGCAGGAGCAGCAGACGCTGCCTGAGCTGGTGCGGCTGGCCACCCCCGGTCCCATCGAGGACCCGGAGAGGGTCGTGGAAGAGGCGGGGCTGGCGACCTGCAGCTCTGTGTATCTGCGACTGGCGGAGGTGCTCTGTCGGTTCTTCTACCTGCCGTTTGGGAGCGTGACTGCGAGAGTGCATGCGGCACTACAGCAGGCCGCGCTCGGGCCGCTGCCGTGGCCGAGGGGCGGGACGATACGGCTGGACGCTGCGGAGGTGTGGCTGACGGCCTGTTTGCTGGGGCACGCGCGCGTGGACCCCGGGAAGGTGCGCGACTTCTGCAGCACACACCTGTGCGCGTACGGGCTGCCCGGGCTGACGGACGAGCCCGTGGAGGCCGTGATGGGCTCGTTCGCCGAGTACATCGCGCGCGATGCCCGCCATCGGTGGCATCTCACTGATCGTACTGTCTTACAGCACCGCCAACTGACCTATCTGCGCGAAGCCCAGCTGCGGAGATGGAGGACTCTACTCGAACGCCGCCGGCAGACGTCCGACCCCGAGGAGGCACTGGCGGTCCGTGCTGCTAAGGCGGACCGGACACAGCGCCGGAAAACGGAAGAGGGGCTAGCGCAAGCAATTCGGACGGAGGCGGAAGACGCGTTAGCACAAGCAATCCGGCCGGCGGAGGTGCCCCGGACGCAGAAGCCGGACGCGGAAACCGCCCGTGAGCGCTTCGCTCGCGAGCTGACCCACCGCCTTGTCCGCGCCGGCTCCATCGCCTCGGTGCTCGCCTACCGGGGCCGGGCCGAGGAGCAGCGGGCACCGGAGCCGGAAGACGCGCTAGCGCAAGCAATCCGGGCGGCGAAGGCGCGCCGGACGGACCAGGCGGACGAGGAAACCGCGCGAGAAAGCTTCGCGCGAGAGCTGGTCGGCGGTCTCCGCGGCACCGACTTGCTGCGCTCGCTGCTGCTCAAAGGGCCGCGCTTCGTGAAGCGACGGGAGCTGGCGGCCGTCCTGTTCCAGCTGCTGCAAATGAGGCGCCGCAATGGCGAATACTTCCTGAACGAGGACCAAGTCATGGACCTGCGAAACTCCTTCAACGAGAACGCAAACACTTATTTAGCGACCCGGGTTCCGCAAAGGATGTACGACCTCGCCACCCGTCCCGGTCAGTTCCAGCCCAACGGCCGGCAGAGCAAACCCTGCGCGCTCACCACGCACATTCTGGAGTTCCTGCAACTGCCGCCCGAAGAGCTAGCGGAGTTCATGCTCATCAAGTGGACCTGGCCCACCATCGAACGGGCTCTGAACAGGTCCGCGCTCTCAGACGACGACCGTCACGCGGTGCTGGTCAGGTTCTTGAAGACAGCCTGACTTTCGACGCCAAATTCTCTCGTGCTTTGTTCAGTGCGTGCGGGCAGGGACACACTGACCGGGCCCCTGCCCGCACGCAATGACTGGTGGCCCCATTCGCGTTGTCCGGAAGTTAACCTTTTTATAAAAAGAGGAGGTCGTTGGTCTAGCACTACGACATGGCCGTTCGGACCCAAGTGGAATGGGATGACCAGATGATCAGCCGTGTGCGCAACTGGCGGTGACGTAGATGTTCTTTGTCCTCGGATGGATCCACCCACCACAGTCCGTTCGTAGTGGTGGCCTGGTAGGTTGGGGTTTCCCTGTTGGGTGAGCGTATGCTTTGACGATGTCTTCCTTTGTCGGTGGCGCAGGGAGGTTGAGCAGTCAAGGTGCCCACACAGCCACGACCTTCACTGATGTTCGGTCCAATAGTGCGTCGTCTTCTTCGTCGTCGCTGGCGCAGCTGCTGAACCAGTATGTTGCTGCACCCGCCGGAGATGAATTCGATTGTGAAGTCGTAGTCGCTTCTTCGTGGGTTCAACTTCTTGCTAGCGACTCGACGGGTACTTCGGCGCCTCCTTAGCTCGGACGCCTCCTTAGCTCTGTCTCCACGACGTACTTGCCTGGACCTTTATGCCCGTCTGGCCGATGACGTGCCCGAGGGACTTCACTTCATCCTTGAACCATTCGCTCCTGCCCAAGCGCAAGTAGAAGCCGGTGTTCATGCACTGTAGCTTGACCCGCTGCACTACGCTGTCGAAGTCCTGTCCACAAATGACGATGTCGTCAATGTAGCAGACCGCATTTGCTTCTACTGCGAAGCAGGAATCCATTGCGCGTTGGAACTCGGCGGGCGACTTCTTCATACCGAACGGGATGACGTCGAGTTCGAAAAGGCCAATCGGAGTTGTAAAGCCGGCGCCTTCCACCCCTCCTCGGTTGGCACGCTCCAGAACCCCGCATTCACGTCTAGCGTGCAGTAGTACCTCTCATGGCCGCTTCGAGTTTGCGGTAGCAATGACGCACCTTCATTCTTCCCATGCGCGTCTCAGCGAGTAGTGACCTGTGTAATGTGTTGAACAGCCGGGGGGGGGGGGGGACGGCGTGACGGCGGCGACGCCGGCCAGTGCCTCAGTCCCGTGACGGATCAGCCAGGAGAGAAATACCCCGACGGGGGCGAATTTTTAAACTGAAAAAGGCAATGAGAGCGGGCGCGGGCGCAAAGCAGCAGTGCTCGGTTTCCGTCCTTTGTCTTTGGGCTGTCAACTCAGGCGCCACTGGCGGGTGGCAGCCTCTGGCGCCTGTTGCGGTGTCATCCTCGGCATCGGTCTGGACGGCGTTGGGAAGTGCGAGAGAGCGAGCGGAGATAGAGGCGCGGTTTGTGTCGACAAGTGGCCTGGCAACAGGCTGGCATCGCGACTTGTACCGCGATGACGAGTCCGCGCGTGAGTTGTTGCTGAGGCTGATGCCTGCACCGCACTGGGCGGCGGCGTTGGCCACTTTGGAGCCGGCGCATTTACAGGAGAACGACGTCTTTTTGTTGGAGGCGGCTGCCGCGCTTCGGTTGCACGTGAACATGCCGCTGCAGCTGGGTCTGGAGCGTCCGGCCCTGGAAGCGGCGTGCGCGGAGCTGGATGAAGTGTTCTGGGTCGCCGACAACCCGTCCCGCCGCCTCGTCAACTGGGTCACGGCCTGCCTGCTGCGGCACGCTATCGAGCTGGGTAAGAGCTGTGAGGCATCGGACCCTGCCAGGGTCCGAGAAACGGAGTGCCGGCGGGGCCTGCGCTTGACGCTCGCGACGACGGTGGACAGATTGCTCGGGCTGCGAGACTTCGGTACGGACCCTGAGTGCGTGCGCCCGCGCACGCGATCGTACGCGGCGCACGAGTCCGCGGAGGCCGCGCGCTCGCATTTCCGCCGCGGCACGGGGCGCATGACGCTGTTCACCGTAACCAACCAGGACCCGGTCTGCGCTACGGAGTTCGTGCGAATGACTCTGAACACACCTCGGCCCTGTTTCTTCACGGACTCTGTCGCGCGCATCGAGCACTTGCTGCCGTCCGACCATTTCCTGCGCGACCAACGCAAGGCGGCCCACGCGCTCTACACGCTCTTCACACCAGAGGAACGCTCCGCGCTGCGCAGCTTCCCCACCCAGCTGGCTGAGCAGGAGCGGCAGACGCTGCCTGAGC